AGAATTACAGTCTTCTTTACCTTCGTGATTCTTACCTTTGAAAATTGTAGAGGTCTCCTGCAAATTGTGAGTGATGTACCCTACTGCTGGTGTGTGTGAAGTTTAAAGTTATAACCACAGGTACGAGAAATTGCTGGGCATTTGCCGCGGTCATTAGATCCAAAATTTCATTATTTTCCTATCCAAATAACATTATTTTTTATTGTCATTCCCTAATATTGTGGTTCAAAAGCACAATTTGGAACATAGTGTACTAAGCCATTACAATGGCTCGTGTGTATACAATGGCAGATGTGTATAAGAGACAGTGGTAACAGTGTTGGAGAAGAACTTCAATTCAATTAAAAATGAAAATAATATCTTGAGTCATTCACATCAGAAATGGACAAACATCAGTTTCCTTTTTTTTATTGTACGTTCCTTACAATGGTTTCAACTGGTTGGAAGATAAGACACCTTTTCATCAGTTGTTTACATTTTAGAACAAGGAATAAGATTGGGCTAACCATATTGATAGCATGGGCTTGCAAAGGGATCCCAAGTTAGAAAAAATCATTTCAGGGAAATCTGTTTTTTCAAAACTTCGACATATGTAATTTATATTTATGGTGACACCAATTGACACTGACTTCTGTGAGAACAGTGATTATAAAGTGGTAATACAGTAGTAAAAACATGCAGATTTTGAGAATTTGTGCAGTTATTTTCTGGAAGATTTTTGTCCAGTTTGGGAGGCCATCTCAAATTCTAGGAGACTCGCAAGACTTGAAGTAGACTTGGGACCCCTTTACTTGTAACTCATTAACATGAAAAATTAGTTACTGATTTAATCTGATAGATCAGATTGTGTATGGATGCGTGCAGGTGTGGATCCACTAGCGGGCCACAGGGGGTACGCGCAACAGTTTTGCCACTAAATTTTAATGCATATCAGTGTTATATTTTTTAAATACACTACTCAATTTTCAATTCTGAAAATGTTGTAGCAAGATGTGTATAAGAGACAGGGCACTAAGAGACTTAAATTGGCCAAATTAAAAAAAAAAAATCAGTACATCAATAAAGCTGTAATAATGTATAAAATAATGAATAATTTAGCACCATCTTACTTAAGAAACCGGTGTCACGAACGTGAACTTATCTATGAAACAATTCAAATATCATTTTACGCTTACATAAACCAAAGACTGAATATAAGTTTTTCATATCATGGGACAGAAATCTGGGTAACCTAAATAATTTAAATAATTTTGCAACAACTGCTCCTAATATTTATACTTTTTAAAGATTAATAAATAACTGACAAGATTAAATATTTTGCATAATGAGCAAAAAAATTGTTAAACTGTTCTACATTGTCATGACATCACTTTTTAGTCTGTTGTCTTTGTAATGTTAATATATTTGTATTTTACATTTCTTTGCTGAATATGTATTCCAATATGTTTGTATGTGTGTTTTTTTATTTAAGTTTCATCATTTCATTTTCATCTTCTTTCAAAAACATTTTATCTCCTTGTGAAAAACATTAATGTGGTGATACAAGTTTTCTCCGTTTTAAAATGAAGTTGTTATAATTATTATTTTTATTATTATTATTATTATTATTATTATATATGTGGCAAAGACAAGCTAAACCAGTCACTCATCGCAAATCGTGTTTCAGAAAAAATGGCCAAAATATGCTGGAATGTTGAATATTTAAAAATCTATTTTATTGCACTTTAAACAGCTTGTAACTTCATACAGAAATGTCAGATTTGAATGATTTTTTTTACCATTTTATAACTCTTATTTTACACTTTAACCCAGTATAAATGACTCAAAATCGATTTTTGCGACTAGTGACTGGTTTGGCTTGTCTTTGCCACATATATACTTCAAGACTTTTTTCTACCTTGATTTGCAAACTTATTTTATAGACAGTCAGAGAATAATAGCAAAAAATGGAATTAAAATTATTTTTTTATTTAGCAGAATTGTTTTGGCCGATAAAATGTTATTAAACAGTGTACTAATGGAATTGATATGTGCTTTAAATTTATATAATTAGGAAAAAGATATCTTATTTTTGTAGTTTTCAAGGCAGCATGGACGTAGTAATAAGAAATTCAAAATTGGGGGTTTTTTGCCCCAAAATTTCATTCTTTTGTAGCAGAGGGCATGCTAACTGGCAAATAATAATATTTCATTTTTATTTGAAACCATTAATGTCAACGGGCAGTGGGTTTGCGAAACAAGGTGTAAACAAAATATCGCCTTGATTGCCACTCTACTGATTCTAATGAGCGTACCATTTTGCTACATTACTTAATTCTGTAATAGAGCAACCAAATATAAGACCGGTAAACCCTTACATTTATCGGCATTTCTCATTTTGTGCTGGCCCCAAAACGTGTTGTGTTTATGTTAAAGTAACTAATAATTTTCATCATTTATTTAATATTTTTTTTCTATTTTTATACTCAGACTGAAGAATCTAATCCAATTAACTGGAAGCCTGAAATCATACGAAAAAAGAAATACTAGAGAAACACCAGCTGTATCCTTCTAGTTTACATCAAGATGTTTTGCTGACAATGGTAACAGTGTTGGAGAAGAACTTCAATTCAATTAAAAATGAAAATAATATCTTGAGTCATTCACATCAGAAATGGACAAACATCAGTTTCCTTTTTTTTATTGTACGTTCCTTACAATGGTTTCAACTGGTTGGAAGATAAGACACCTTTTCATCAGTTGTTTACATTTTAGAACAAAGAATAAGATTGGGCTAACCATATTGATAGCATGGGCTTGCAAAGGGATCCCAAGTTAGAAGAAATCATTTCAGGGAAATCTGTTTTTTCAAAACTTTGACATATGTAATTTATATTTATGGTGACACCAATTGACACTGACTTCTGTGAGAACAGTGATTATAAAGTGGTAATACAGTAGTAAAAACATGCAGATTTTGAGAATTTGTGCAGTTATTTTCTGGAAGATTTTTGTCCAGTTTGGGAGGCCATCTCAAATTCTAGGAGACTCGCAAGACTTGAAGTAGACTTGGGACCCCTTTACTTGTAACTCATTAACATGAAAAATTAGTTACTGATTTAATCTGATAGATCAGATTGTGTATGGATGCGTGCAGGTGTGGATCCACTAGCGGGCCACAGGGGGTACGCGCAACAGTTGTGCCACTAAATTTTAATGCATATCAGTGTTATATTTTTTAAATACACTACTCAATTTTCAATTCTGAAAATGTTGTAGCACCCCCCCCCCTTGAAAAAGTCATGAGGATCCGCTCCGGCGTGTGTGTTGCGCATGTTGAACTAAAATGGTTGTTGGGGAGGCTAAAGTTAAGGATTGTGGTCCAGGCCCTTCCACCCTTTGATATACCGCTACTTACTTCCCTGAGGGCAGATTCTGTAGTATGTAGCAATAGTTTGTGATTTAACAGGGTAAGTGTAGGGTGTAACTATTTCAATAAAGGTTTCCAAGAATTATTATGTCTAGTAAAATCATAGTTGCTTAAGCAGCACACACTTTATATAGCATGAAACAACAATAAGGTATGTTGCAGGCCTGTATCGGGGGTGGGGTGGACAGTGCACCCCCAACTTTAATCAGAATAGTCCATGTTTTATAGACAATCAAGAATGCAATCTACCGTTAATCCAGTACTGTAAAACCTGCGATTTGAAGCCCAATGGGCTTAATCTCCAAAAGAAGCCCATGTCAAATTGTAGTTCCCCTCTTTAGTGTGCAAAATTATCTTTAAAAAGAAGCCCATGGTTTCAAGATAGCAAGGCTTCTTTTCGAGATACAGTCGAGTTCGCATAAGTCGAATCTAATGGGACTGGCATAAAAAGTTCGAGTTATACAGATTTCGACTTGCACATTTTCGAAAAAAAAAAAAAAATTAACATAGAACAATACTATGTGTACTCAATGCCCACAAAATCGAATTTCACGCAAAACCGAACATTTTCATTCCTCTTCTTTTAATAAAATACTTTCCGAAAACATGAACTCCCTCTTCTAAATCTCGGACGATTTGTCCAATTCAGGACGGTAACACTCACTCGAAAAACCAGACGATAGTTTAACGACAAGCATACCAGACGCTGTGAAAACGAGACGCTTAGCTATACTCGCATTGCCATGGAGATTATCTGTTAATTAACACGACACACCAGTAGACGTTTTCTTGGTTAATTATGAAGTGAAATTTACACATTCCAATGTTTTAATAAGTGTATATTCTTGCTTTTAATCCTTAAAAACCATCTGGAGTCAACAAAGCAAGTTTCTACTGGTTACTCTTTTCAGTAGACGTCTAATTCAAATTTGTTAGATTCGTCGGTGTAAATTTCAAATGCACCTCATTCATTCTTTAAACTCAAGACGCTTTTCAAAACATGTTGCTAATTTAATTACGGAGGAAATTTGTAGAGAATAAAATATAATTTGACAATATAAAAGTCGCGTTTTATTGATAATAATTAAATTTGCTGAGCAGTACAGCAAAACAACAGGTACTGTACGTATTATTAAATAATGTGTTGAATTTGCGTAGGCTAGGCAGTCAAAAGAATCCAGGGCTTTGATAAATTAATTAAATAGCTAGGCCCTGACTACAACAATCTTGTTCGAAATGGGTTCAGTACGAGTTTTACAAACTAAACTGGACGAAAAACTCGAACATTGGAGCCGGTCCGGAGGGGTGTCTGTATTGTGAGAATAGACTGCAACTTACGACATACGATCATGTGAACCAAGTTCCACAGCGCGCTGTCTGAGATGTTAGTTTGACATGGCTAACTTGTTGCCGTACAACAAGGATTGAACTTCGTATTTTCTCACGGCTGTGTATTTTTCCCACGTGCGCTACTAAATTTGGAACTTCGACTTGCGTGGTTGAAATTACTTTAAAATCGGCCTATCCGGACCGGAAAATTCCGTCGATATAGCCGAAATTCGAATTAAACAAACAATTTACACAGTAATACATAGGAAAGAATTGGGACTTTTTCAAAAATTCGACTGACGCGAATTTTCGACTTAAACAGAGTCGACTTTGGCGGACTCGACTAGTACAGTACACACGCTGTACATAAATTTCAAAAAACAAAATAAATTAAAAACACACTTGGTTTATACAGTAGTTTAGGTGATTTAATGCCAGTTAATACACTTCATGATACAGATTGATGTTTTATAGTACAAATTCCCAAAATTTACAGCATTCATTATGAATTACTTTATTTGGGCAACCACCCCCAAAAATCCTGGATAAGGCCTTGTTCTGTTTGACCAGAAAACACCTTGTTTTTTACAGCCAGACATCGATCATATGTAAGAAGTTATGTAAAAACTGAGAATAAAGTAGTATAAAAGCAGTGCATGAAGGTTTTTGGAAGCACACTGTAAACATCAAAGTTTGGGTGCGGCCCTCTGTGTTAAATAAAAAAAATTATTTGGCCCTCCATCCGATTTTTATGCCCACTCTCGTTTTAGAAACAGTGATAAATTTATAAATTGTGAGCTACATTCCATTTGAATTAAATTGTTATTTAAACTTTATCCAAAGCACAATTAATTCTAAAATACTAACTTTATGTAATGGAATTTGGGAAATAATTATACAGTTTATTGTTTATACAGTGTTCATTCCGAAATTGTAAATGATTTGAAAAAAAAAAAAGCACTTTGGTTACTCACTCTTTAATGCGCTTATTGCGCGCCATACCTAATTTAATTGGCGTCCCATACTCGATTTCTTTATTTCGGATTAACTTGTTTTTTGCCGGCGCTGTCCAGAATGACAAAACAATAATAATAAGGGTCTTGTGGAAATTTTAGGAAGAGGGCTACAAAGGTCACAAATAGTATACATATATTTTCTAACATAAGTATTACACTAATTATGCAGGATATTTTGGTTCTTATAAGCATGGGAGCCCTATGAAGTTGGGGGTTTTTTTTCCAAGATGGAACATTGAGACAAATAAAAGCAAAATTCAGAATTTGAATGATCAGTTTTTGTTTGTACAGTATTGTATCAATTATTAAATGTTTGCAGAGCAATGGAGCAATGGAAATTTCCTCCAATTACAGTCTTCTTTACCTTCGTGATTCTTACCTTTGAAAATTGTAGAGGTCTCCTGCAAATTGTGAGTGATGTACCCTACTGCTGGTGTGTGTGAAGTTTAAAGTTATAACCACAGGTACGAGAAATTGCTGGGCATTTGCCGCGGTCATTAGATCCAAAATTTCATTATTTTCCTATCCAAATAACATTATTTTTTATTGTCATTCCCTAATATTGTGGTTCAAAAGCACAATTTGGAACATAGTGTACTAAGCCATTACAATGGCTCGTGTAACGACATCGTTTAACGACAAGCATACCAGACGCTGTGAAAACGAGACGCTTAGCTATACTCGCATTGCCATGGAGATTATCTGTTAATTAACACGACACACCAGTAGACGTTTTCTTGGTTAATTAGGAAGTGAAATTTACACATTCCAATGTTTTAATAAGTGTATATTCTTGCTTTTAATCCTTAAAAACCATCTGGACTCAACAAAGCAAGTTTCTACTGGTTACTCTTTTCAGTAGACGTCTAATTCAAATTTGTTAGATTCGTCGGTGTAAAATTTCAAATGCACCTCATTCATTCTTTAAACTCAAGACGCTTTTCAAAACATGTTGCTAATTTAATTACGGAGGAAATTTGTAGAAAATAAAATATAATTTGACAATATAAAAGTCGCGTTTTATTGGTAATAATTAAATTTGCTGAGCAGTACAGCAAAACAACAGGTACTGTACGTATTATTAAATAATGTGTTGAATTTGCGTAGGCTAGGCAGTTAAATTAATTAAATAGCTAGGCCCTGACTACAACAATCTTGTTCGAAATGGGTTCAGTACGAGTTTTACAAACTAAACTGGACGAAAAACTGAACATTGGAGCCGGTCCGGAGGGGTGTCTGTATTGTGAGAATAGACTGCAACTTACGACATACAATCATGTGAGCCAAGTTCCACAGCGCACTGTCTGAGATGTTAGTTTGACATGGCTAACTTGTTGCCGTACAACAAGGATTGAACTTCGTATTTTCTTACGGCTGTGTATTTTTCCCACGTGCGCTACTAAATTTGGAACTTCGACTTGCGTGGTTGAAATTACTTTAAAATCGGCCTATCCGGACCGGAAAATTCCGTCGATATAGCCGAAATTCGACTTATAAAAATTTGAATTAAACAAACAATTTACACAGTAATACATAGGAAAGAATTGGGACTTTTTCAAAAATTCGACGCGAATTTTCGACTTAAACAGAGTCGACTTTGGCGGACTCGACTAGTACAGTACACACGCTGTACATGAATTTCAAAAAACAAAATAAATTAAAAACACACTTGGTTTATACAGTAGTTTAGGTGATTTAATGCCAGTTAATACACTTCATGATACAGATTGATGTTTTATAGTACAAATTCCCAAAATTTACAGCATTCATTATGAATTACTTTATTTGGGCAACCACCCCCAAAAATCCTGGATAAGGCCTTGTTCTGTTTGACCAGAAAACACCTTGTTTTTTACAGCCAGACATCGATCATATGTAAGAAGTTATGTAAAAACTGAGAATAAAGTAGTATAAAAGCAGTGCATGAAGGTTTTTGGAAGCACACTGTAAACATCAAAGTTTGGGTGCGGCCCTCGGTGTTAAATAAAAAAAATTATTTGGCCCTCCATCCGATTTTTATGCCCACTCTCGTTTTAGAAACAGTGATAAATTTATAAATTGTGAGCTACATTCCATTTGAATTAAATTGTTATTTAAACTTTATCCAAAGCACAATTAATTCTAAAATACTAACTTTATGTAATGGAATTTGGGAAATAATTATACAGTTTATTGTTTATACAGTGTTCATTCCGAAATTGTAAATGATTTGAAAAAAAAAAAAGCACTTTGGTTACTCACTCTTTAATGCGCTTATTGCGCGCCATACCTAATTTAATTGGCGTCCCATACTCGATTTCTTTATTTCGGATTAACTTGTTTTTTGCCGGCGCTGTCCAGAATGACAAAACAATAATAATAAGGGTCTTGTGGAAATTTTAGGAAGAGGGCTACAAAGGTCACAAATAGTATACATATATTTTCTAACATAAGTATTACACTAATTATGCAGGATATTTTGGTTCTTATAAGCATGGGAGCCCTATGAAGTTGGGGGTTTTTTTCCAAGATGGAACATTGAGACAAATAAAAGCAAAATTCAGAATTTGAATGATCAGTTTTTGTTTGTACAGTATGGTATCAATTATTAAATGTTTGCAGAGTTCTCAAGTGCAATGGAAATTTGCTCCAATTACAGTCTTCTTTACCTTCGTGATTCTTACCTTTGAAAATTGTAGAGGTCTCCTGCAAATTGTGAGTGATGTACCCTACTGCTGGTGTGTGTGAAGTTTAAAGTTATAACCACAG